TTTTGAGTACTAATATGAGCTCTCTTGATCTCAGTTTTGACATTAAAATTTAATTTGGCCACTTTTTAAAAAGACAAACAACATAACCATGGTCCATGCTTAAATCCCACTAGCACTCTTCATCTTTGCATAGAGATGCACCTGAGCCTAGACTTCTTAAGGCTGGTGCTCCTTAAAGGTGGCAATTTATCACAAATTCCTGGATCTCCCACTCTGCAGTGAAAGGAACACACATTGTCTAGATAACATAAGGGACAGCACATGCCCTGTGCTCTCAGGGGGAGGGCTGACAGTGCTGCAGCCCTGCACACACACAGAGGTACCCTGGGCTGCCACTGCCGCCCTGGGATGGGATCCAGCTTGGTTGGTGGCACCTCAAAACTCAGCAATCTGTCCTGGCCAGTGGGAGTGGGGGCTTGGGCTGCTCCCTCACTCCCAGCTCTACATAAAGCCCTGAGATATAATGCCCTGTAAGGTGCAATATAATCCCTGGGGACTGATGGGATGTGATACAGTCCCATGCCAGAGGGATGCTCCTGTGCATCCCTTCCAAGAGGCATCCCTTGGACATGGTCCCACTTTCCTAGCAACCACGGGCTGGATTGAGAAAGGGTGGATCCCACTTGGCTGGGGAGCCCTCCTGGGGTCCATGGCACAGCCAGGAGGGGGAAGAAAGTCGGGGCAGACCTCCCTGTAAGGCGGTGGGAGCTGGAGCTGGCCGAAGCACGAGGGCGCATCGTCTCTAAGATACAGTGGCTTGGGGTAGCTTTTCCTAAACAAAGAGCATTATAAGAGAGCCACTGCTGGAAATTTCCATTCCTTTGTTGGGTTGATGCTGTGTAAATAAATGCATTCCTAAGATTTTTCATAATCCTGGAAAGGGCCGTAAATGAAACTGTATACTTTGCCAAATCACTGGAGTTCATATATATTATTCCTCAGCTGCTGGGAACATGATATACAATGGCACAGAATATAATGCAAGAAACATATGCTAAAGGTCTTCTTAGAAGCACTCTGTGCATTTGTATGTGGCATACGCAAATATTTATTTTGATTTGCTCTGTAGGATTTAAATATTCAACCCATATTACAACTTGGATTTGTGGTATACTTATCTTAACTCAAAATAATCCTTACCTGACAGGTGACCTTAGCAGCAGCATTCAGTTATTCCCTAGTTTAATATGTGGGTGCTTTGGAAGCATTTGTAAATTAGCATGTGAGATAAATGTGTAATCAACCTTTTACTTTATTCTTCTGCTTTTTCTTATATTTGAATTTCATTTAAAAGTAAGGTAATTTGGGAAGATTAAATTCCAATGATGGTATTGTGCCTGATGTATTTACACGTTGAATGGCTAAAATGCATTTTCAATATCTTACATTTTTGTCATATATAAACACTAACTACTTATAGAAGAGATACAGTCCTGTATCCAATGTACTGGTAATGTTAATTCAGGAGTTACCTAAATAGTAAAGACTGTTATGTCCTAATTGTTAGAAATCAGATATTTTTCTTAAAATAGGCTAATAACTTCTCCCACTAACTCTACTCCCTCAGATTCAGTTTATCTGCATTCATAAGATCACTTCCCTGTTTAATGTAGTACAAATGCTTTAGAAATTTCTAACAGAAACTGTCCTTTAGACTACTGGAATTATGTTTATCACCCTTGTTTTTTATTTTTGAGCACACTGACATCTATCTTATATTTAGACTTTCTGACAGCTATACCCACTTTTTTTAGGATGAATATTCTAATTTTGAAAATCATATCCCCTAGTAATGCAGTTCTACTGGAAAAATATTGAAATGACGTGGAAATAACACTTTTCTTTTTAAGCACATTTTAGTTTTAGATCTCAAAGTTTTAGACAAAAGAGAACACTTAATAAACAATTGAATAAAATACAAAATGAACTTTTTCAACATTTGTTTCTATTTGTCCAAAATACAACATTACCATTTATTTCCCGGACATGCCATTTTTAAGTTGCATTAGAAATGTAAAAAACAGCCCCACAAGCAAAACAACCTAGAAACCAAACCAAAGCAACCCCTCAAACAGGACTATCTCCATAAGGCAAGCCCAAATACTCCTGGCTAGCTGGTTCGGTCTCTAATTTCCTTCTGTTTGGACACTGCCACAGCATCTCTAATTCCACAGTGCTCATCTGAGATCCTAATTTTTCCTGACCTCAGTACTCACATTTGGGGGCTACTATGTCAAAGCTTTTCAGCGTCCAGGATGAAGGAGCCTGGTTCAGCCTTCTTTCAACAGAAGATTATTATGGTAATTGTAGGTCTCAAATCAGAATAGATTATAAAAGCTTATTACTGTATTTTAATGTAAAATATTGTTAACTAAAGGCATCAAACTTTAAACCACATTAATAGCAAACTATGATCCCAGAGACTGCAGACCAGTAACTTATCTACCACACAAACAGCTGCACAAATCCCTCACATTTATTTTTTCCAGGCTTTCAACTTTGATTAATAACATGGTAAAACCATGCAAGTCTCAACCATATTAACCACAGCTATATTTTTAGTCCTACTGACATGAACACTTTAATATAATAAAAGGGAAAGGAAAACAGAAGAGGTGTTTCATTAGGACACGAGGATTACTGAAACCGCTGTGTGGAGCATTTGCCAGGAGGTGGTAGGGGAAGAGTTATTACTCACATTTTAGCATGTCGTTAGGATGTGGAGAAAGAGGATCCCTCTGTGAGATATGTTTGCTTTGGAAAAAAAATTAAGTAATCAGACTGTCCAAGCTCTTCTCACTGACACAGTCATAACAGCAAATTAGAAACTCAGTTAATGAGTTTCCAGCATTACGTGGAAAGCTATTTTTCCAATTTTGTTATAAAATTCAGTAATACGACAGTGCTACGAGATCCAGAAGTTCACATATTAACCTGCCAGTCCTTTTTTATTGGTAGATGGCTACGTGCAAAAAATATATGAAGCATGCAACCTGGTTGGTTAAAAAAATAGCCTGCACCACAAACTCTCAGCAAATTTGCTCTTGCAGCTGATTACAGAAGCTTATAAATATATTTTAAAAGCATTAATGAAGAGGAAAAAAAATTCCCCAAACCCAAATAAACCCCCCCCCCCCCGAATGGCTGATATAAACAAAAAACCTCAGCATTATGTCAGTAAAATAGCAGTTTCAAAATAAATTCAAAGACTAATGCTTGCCTAACATTAAATTATTCAATATTTAACATTTTTGGCTTAATGATTGTATGATACTGGGACTAGAGTTAAATTTGGTCCAGTCTCCTAGTCGACAGCTCATATGACAGAGGTGTTCCTTAGATGAGTTTCTGACACTAAATTCCACTGAATGAATAGTATTAAGCACATAATAAAAATATTTGGCTGAGTAAGTAGTTTGACTTTTTTTCTTGCTGCATGTACCTGCCTACACATTTGCACCAGCAGTATGTTTGTAATGATGCCTTTTGTGAGGGAGCCAAGCCCTGTAAATCGGAATAATGGGCAAAACCAGTCACGTATTTTTTTATTTCTATATTGCTTGCATGAAGAGAGCTACATTTCAAAACTGAGGTGGAGAGAACAAAGAGATCCAGGCACACAGCATCCTAATAGGGACCCTGAAATGAGTGCTCTGGACAGCACGCAAAGAGCATAGTCATGGCAGTGCTGGAAACAGCCAGGTACCACAAAGGGGATGCAATAGCCCAGCAAGGAGAAGGGCTGAGCAATAGCAAATACCTTGACACTTTAACTCTGAGAAAAAAGCATAATATCTGTTTTGACCTTTGCAGCATTTTTAATGCACGACATCCATAGCATCAGAAATGCAGGGGAACAGGGAAGGCAGACATCCCATTTTTTTCTAACCCCCTAGAAAGTGGAAAAAATGTGCAGAAAACATTTATATGGCACCAGTGAAATGAGACCCTATGCACAGTCTTATAGGTGAACTTCTTGACCGGAGGGATTTGTCTCTTACTTGAATGCCACACAAGCACATGTGAACCATTCCCACTCATCTGCACTCCCCATTCTGACATTGGGACTTTCCTTTTTAACTAGCCCAGGCTTGGCTAAGACTAAGATAAACATGTTTGGCTGCAACTTTTTTTTTCTTTCAAAAAGAGGCAAACTGGATTATAGCAAATAACCTTTAAGATAATTAACTGACAATGCCGCAACTAGCATAAAATCTTCCTTCAGGCGACCCCTAATTTAAGTATTACTGGCACAAAGTGGAGACAGATTGTGCATCACCACCGCAATATTTACATAGCAGAAACCCACAGAGCAGGAAACGTGAGACTCAATGATGCACTAAATTAGGAACAATCATATTCTAGTGTTAATTTGCTTTCTCCTCTATCCAAAATCCAGGTCCAGCAATTGGTACAAATGCACATAAAACATTCCCATTTTTAATGATTAAGAACCACAATCTGCAAGCAGTTTCACTCAAAAGTACATTCAATTACTACTGGGCATGTTTGAGGGATCAAACCCCCAAAAGTGAAACAGGTCTACCAACACAGAGATTTTTTTAGAAACCAAGGCTTCCTAATGCATTTATTTCTTTCCATAAATGATGTCTGTGCACGCAGTCTGAGTCCTCTGCAAGCTACCCGACTTTTTGTTGCAAATATTTTCCTCTGACAGTAACACTGTGATTATGCAGCATAATGGAGAAACAATTTTAATTCTCTGATGCTGTAGGTACTTGCAGGGACTCAAAAGGCTGCATAATCAAAGAATTAAAGTTAAAATGGGGAGGAAGGAAAAGATAGCCATTCTATTTCTAAATGTACTGACAAGTGATACATATATAATATCCACTATCCAGAGACAGATTTCACAAGCAACACTCTCAGTTACAGCACTTCGTAAGATAAAAGCAAAGAGCCATCACCGACCTTTCTAATAGAATCTTAAATATTATTCAAATTTGGTTCTACTATGGCGTATTAGCAAAAAAATTTACCTTGCCTAATCGCTGATGTTCTTCAAAAGCAGAAATCAGTTCTTGTGCCCACTTTATTTTTTCAGGGCTTGGAGAGAACTGTTCCTGGACAACAGCAATTTGGTTGGGGTGAATCACCTGCTTACCTACAAAGAAGATTAATAACACCAGAATCATGCATCGACAAACAGATGTTCAAGCAAAATGTTCCAACCACTTGAGGCTCTCATATGCCTTGCAGACTTTCTTGCTCTCTAACTAATTATTTTACTTGGTTTATTTTATTTTTAAAACTGGAAAACAGGCAGATAGCTTTTTGGCAGATTATTTTAAAAGTAAGAATACCTTGTGCTATGCTTGCATTCAGTATAGTTTGAAAGAACCCAAGATTCTTTCTCCTCCCTCCCCATTTTGATCCATACATCTTCCCTCAGGAGTTTCAGGTGCAGTTGCTTGTCTTGGGCAATCAATAACAATTAAGTGTAATGCATCTCTGAATTTGACTATGTAAATAACAGCTCCAGCCACTCTTAAATAAGTTGTAATAAAGTGTGCTCAGAAAATGAGATCTGAAGAAGATGGCAAGAGATCTGTCAGGCAGAAAAGTTACCAGTACTCTAAGGATCATTCCCTAAATTCTCAGTATTGGCTTATAATCATATAATCCCCAATGTTGTTTAAACTGTTGTTGCTGCAATTATTGGTGGTTGCAGGTAGGCTGCAATATTTATTTAGTCACTGGTATAGCAAACAACCACCAGCAGTGCCCTGAGGCTTTATGAAACAGTTTTTTTAATCCTTTCTTGTATAAACATAAGTTAAGAAAATAAAAATAGATGTTGTCTTTTTCACTAGAGATTTTCAAACGTGAATAGACAGCCACATAATCCCTTTTAATCTGTGATTCAATTTAGCTACCTTAAAACAAATACACGTCTAATTTGTTTGACACTTTAAAAAGTGCGGCGTTTGGCGTTATTAGTTTATTTCTATGGGAATTTCACAGACCGGTGGGATCTCTGTGGTTTGCTTTTAAGGTGCCCTAATAAAGGGAGGCTGCCGTAACTCCCAGCTTCCTTCGGAGGAAACAACTCTCCTCGGTGCCAGAAAACAAAACTAGTCAGAGTGGTGAGCCTGATGCCGCAAAGCTGCCAGCGAGTGAGCAGTGCCCTGCAGACCGAGGCTCCCACAGCCCCGCCGCCGCTGCCTCTTGTGCCAGCGAGAGTTTTGCACTTTGCCAGGACAAGCTGGAAGTGTCGGGACCCAAGGAGGTTCCCTGCACAACGGGGTCTGCTCCCTGTCCCTACTGCCATTAGGCCAGCTGTACTTTAGGAACCAGCCCATCACCGCATCTGAGAAGTCTCACGCCTGAGCGCAGGAATGCACCTATTTTCCATGAAATAACCACTGCAAAAATCCCTGGATTGTTTTCATCAGGCTGCAGTGGGTCTGAGTGATAACTTGGAGTACAAAGAAACTCTACTTAATTAAATGAGCAAAGAAATAGGAGTGCTGTGGTGTTGCTACATTCCTTTGCTGAAATGCCACAAGTAGCTCAATTTTACTTCTTCTTGAACAACGTTTAGTTTATGATTTTACAGGCATGCAAATATTAGTTTGAAATTTCAATATCACAACTATTTTAAAAATACCTTAAATATTGGTAAAAATTTAAACCCCATTAAGAACCATAATTTTTGAAAGAAATGACACAAATAATTTTTTTAAACGAATGTGTTTTATCTTAAGTTTACCCAGAAGTTTTTCAGTAATTTTAATAAAATGTCATAATTAATAAGCTGATGATGTTCCTTATTTGTAATACAACAAATTCTCCATAGCTAAACCATTAATTCCAAAATTGAAGTGTGTACAACAATTTCTTAAAAAATCCTATGGAGCTTAACTATTTAAAAAATATGTTGAATATATTTTAAATTATATTTGAAGTCAATCTCTAATTATAACAAAATTAAAATTTGTATTAAAAATACACATATATGACTTTTTAAAAGTGTAAAACATTTCTGTAAAAAGACTTGCTTTTGATAAAGATACCAATATTAGTAAACTATGCTTTTATCATTAAAACACTGCTGAACAATTTAGGAAGAATATAATTGAACTTTTGATTTATAGCACTTGGTTGATTTCTGTCACAGACTACCTATTCAAATAACTGTATTACAGACATAATGCCATGTAGGAAAGAAGTAAATATTTTAAACAGAATTGTTGTTATTGACAAGTTACTGAGAGAGTGCAAAATTGGAAGACATTAAAATTTATGACCACGAAATCCTTTTTACAGTATCACTTGATATATTGTGTTTTAAATCAATACTTGTCAAGTCTTTTAGGTAACTGTATGATGGTGTCATTTTAGTCTCCTACAAAAGACTGAAAAGGAGAGGACACCTAGACTGTTTCGTATTTATATCTGCTCTCTCAGCATGTAGCTCAGGACTTTTTATAATGACTAAGTCAGCTGTTAGAGCTTATGGCAAAGTTTACCTTATTTTTTACACAAACATTCCTAAAACCTATGCCCATTTATATAGGCAACGCACTGATTTAAAGTCCACAGGTAATGCTAGTGTAAAACATCTTGATGGATGCCTATTTATAGATATATAAATTTTTAAATAAATGTAAATATTAAAGGACTATTAATTTGGATGGATTACATTTGAAAACATTTGATTTTATGTTTATACACTCACTGAAGGAAAACCAGGCTGATTTTAACATAATTGGAAAAGAAAACTTGGCTGCAATAAGCAGTGAGGTCTGCAATAATACTTAAATACCTGGTAAATTCTTCATTATATTATTTTGCTTGTTTAATCTTGAGGGAAGCTATTTGATTACATTAAGGGCAATTTCACTGGCCTAATATGGGGACATCTAAGGACATACAACTTAGCTAAATATTTTGGATTTGCATTGCTTTTGAGAGTGGTGAGTTCAGCCCTGTTCGTGCAAATAAATGAATTGTTCTCCAGCTATGAGAGAAATTTGCAAGACTCAGTTAATTTCAGTTCTCTTGATTTCAATGATTTTGATTGTTTATTTAAAAGTAACAGGGAGGGATCTTATATTTAAAAATTAGAAGAATTGCACATTTTGAATTTGTTAATAGGTTGACATTTCAGTACTTTTACATTATCAGAGGACTGTCAGTGGCAAATGCAATGTGCGTACTTCTGCTTTATGCAAAGTCATGGATTAAGCTGAGGCCCATTTGTAATTTTCTGTGATGAATGTGAAATTGGAAATGTTAAAATGTTTAAATTATATAGATTATGAAAAAAAATACTCGCATAGGTTTGGAAAAACATGGTTTTGCTGTCAGTTTTGAAATTAGATTTTATTTCAATCAAAAGAAGCAGGAAAGATTATAAAAATATTAGATAAACTGAGAGCAAAAAGCCAAAGAACAAGTGAAATATTTTAGATTGACCTAAAATATTTTTTTTCTTTTTTCAGAGGAAAAGGAAAGATGCTGTTTTGTTTTAGCTCAAACAGATTTTAATTTTTTTCCCCCACCAAATCCGTAGAATCAGTATTGACCCATCTCTAATTACAGTTGGACTGATTGTCAGGTTGTTTGCTGAATTTTGGAAATGTGTCGATGATAGCTGCAGAAAGGCAGGAGGCAAAGGGCAGGTGCAGTGAGAGCACCTTAATAAAATCTGTACTTTACACAGACTCTTACTCCTTGTATGGAAAGGCAAGTATGACACATGTACAGCCAAGACAGAAAGTAATTTTACACCCTAAATTGCTGTGTGACCTTTTTATTTGTCTTCTGTCTGGACCCTGTTCTAGGGTCAGGCAACTTCCACCATAAAGTCACTGGAGTCCAAATCACCATCAGCATTGGTTATGCTGAACATTTGTAAATTTCCTAAACTGACAGCCTCAGTTAAGCACTTAAATGTGCATTAAGCATTCAAAAAGAGTGCTCTCAAAGGGTCTAGGCACCTGCAACTCCATCTTCTGTCAACAGGAGGTTCAGATGTTTATGTTTTTTCAAAAATGAAGCCTTTCCTTAAGCTAGGAAATATTGGTTGAGACTAGGTAGCTGTCAGCAGGTGCTACCATTCAGCAGCTCTATTATTTTCCCAACTTCAAAGGCAGCCGAGGGACGGGTGGAAGTCCACATGGCCGTGGATAATGTAGCTGTGAGGAGCTAACGATTTCACCTCCAAAACAGGACTTGGGCTTGCAAATGTCAAAGCTCAACAGACAGTAAAGCAGAGCTTGTGCTGAAAAGCATTGATTGCTATTCTTTCACTGGTATGCCAAGGTCACTTAAAATTGCACTTATTTTTTTGTTTGGTGTTTTAAGATGTTATATATAGCTAACTGTAAAACCAGAGTTTGCTAGGTGGCATTGCTAGCACCCACGCTTTTGGTAACAGAAACCTAAGGGATATTCTCATATGTGTATCCTGGATAGTGGTCAAAGAAAAATAATGTGGTGCTCGTCCTGTGTGTTAGAATTCTCTCATGCATGTGTCAAATGGCTGCTTTCTATTGCAGCCCCCAGCCTTTGGTGGCTGCACTGTCCCAAAGAGGCGTCCGAGTGACCTGGTACACCAATCACAGGGTGACAGGCTGCATTACAGGGCTGTGGGGCAAGGAGCCTGCTGCTCTTGCTGTCTGCCAATACCCGTAGGTGTCACCAGCACTTACTAGGGAGAAAGCCAGGAGACTACAAAGAAACCAAAGAAAACAATAAGAAAACAACTTTCCCCTAGCAGGTAGCATATGAGATTTACTTCTCTCTTTTTTTTTCTTTGCTAAAAAGTATTTTTAAACTGCTGCTGTTGTTCAAACAAAGAGAAAGGGCTCCAGGTGTGGAGGAGCCATGGCAGAGTACAGTATTGCCTTTGCTGTGCTCTGGGAAGGGAGGAATCACTGCACAGCCTCTACCCCAACTTCTCTTCAAAACCAGTCAGTCACACGCTTCATGGCAGACGGTTTCAAAAAGCAGCCTGTGACTTTTCAGGCAACATTTCCAGCCACAATTTTTAAGATAGTAATAAACATAGAAGAGCTTGATACCAATGAGTTTTTCAATAAGTGCCCTGAAACAAAAATCAAGTTATTTGTCCAGGTGACAGTAAACATAGCAACCCATTTAAAATGAGCAACGTCCGCGCTCTTTTGAGGCATCGGCAAAAGTCGTACCCGTGAATCCCATGGAGGCGCCTTCCCTCGATTGCCTGCGGAGCCCATCTTCATCATGGAAATCAATGTAAACAAGGTCTATTGCTTGAAGGCCAAATGCCTTTGCTGTGACTATGATTTTTTGCCTGGCGTATAGAATGTCGTGAGTTTCCTTACTGCTTGTTGCACCTGAGAAAATAACGAGAACAAAGAAAAGCTGACAAGAGTGTTTCAAATTTCTTTCTTCTCTCTTCTTTCTGTTTTAAATATTTCTTGTGTTAAAAAAAAAGGGGGAAATTTTGAGATTATATTTAACTGATTTAGAAAATAGAAGAGGGATGTAAAGCTATACTGTAGAGTCAAAATTATACCCCTCTGAGGAAAAAAGATGCTTTAGCAAAAATAAAAAATAACATCCCTCTAAACACTAGCTTAAAAATTCAGATTTTGATTTAGTTTAAATCAGAATTTGAAAGCCTGAAGTCAGTGGAAGCTTTGTCTGGTAAGGACTGCTGACTTGGCTAAAATGAAAGTAATTGTTAGATTTTGCTATTTACTGAACGTACAGTGAGAAGCATTACAGCAAGAGAAGCTTTACACAAATTGATATACTGGGTCCAACTAAATGGTTAAAAAATTCACACTGAGAATAGAATTGCACTTTCCTTGGTTCTGATTCTTGTCACAACTGATGTCCTAAGCTGAATATTTAAGCTTTAGTATTTGAATGAAAAATTGATGGTAGATGACTTCTGAGAAGAAGCAAAAGTATTCATGAGACTTCATGTGCTCACAGGCTACCAGCTAAGCAATGTACTCATGTGAAGGCTAGTGGGAAAAAATAATAACAATAATAACCATAGGGTTACTATTTAGATGGAGATTTTCAGTCTGTAAGGAATATTTTAGTAAAGCAATGCTGATTTTTACATTAACATACTTATTTTTAATGTAGAAGTTCATAGTTCTGGGCTTTTGTCTTTAAATTAAATCAGAAGCTAAGTGCCCTCTTATAAAATAAACAGTGAAGCACTTTTTAATTTTTAGGAAGACTAATAGTGCTTTCATTTGAATATGTGGTTGTATTGACATGTGACAACTTTAAAATAAATTTATGAAAGCAAAATGTAGCAGGAGAGTGTTTGTGCTTGATGTCAAAAGCTTGAGTGACAGTTGTATGTAAAGAAGTGGTGAAGCGGACACCAGAATTTTAGGACTTTCAAATGTAGTTATAAAAAGCATGTGAATGTTGCTTATGCATACAATATTTTAAAATTATTTCAGTGACCCAACAGGGTGAGGGTTTATTTTGTTTGTCTGTTTTGGGTTTTTTTTTTTTTTTGGTGTTTTTTTAAAATTAACTTCTGGTACTGACTGGCAAAAAGCACAAGGAAGTCTCAGTGCCCTGTAGCACAAGGACCACGTTTTAAATTGCCAGAGGTACATTCTGCACTGAAAAGAAATTAAGGAGTAAAATGAAAACGTAAAATGCAGACTCAAGTGTCATTACTTTACTTATTGCTGTCAGAAATTTCACAGGCTTCTCCAAAACAAATGCCATACATAAACATTTATAATAAAGAGGCAAGTAACAACCTATGCTGGCACGGAAATCCTCTCCTCCAAAGACAACTGCATCCAAATGAAAGCCGGCCTGAGATCCTGTTCTCAGTGCTTCTTCACAGACAGCCTTCAAATGAGAACAGAGCATTAATGTCTACAGAAATGCAGGATGCAGACTACAGAGGCTGTTACAGCAACCCAGCATTACCAAAATCCTTCTGAAATGTTGCTCCTATTAAGCAAAGCCACTGTAGGTGCTCGACAATGCGCAGTGCTTTAAAATGACTCAGCAAAAGAAAAAAGTATTTTGCTTTCCCTAAGCATCCAGATAGCAAATGCTGGACATCCATAACAGGTTCCCCACCTTCTGGTTTACATTATGCCCCAGGTGTTACTGTGACCACTACTTCAGACATTTATGTAGCAACATGAAACAAAACATTTGGCAAATATTGCTTAGCAACAAACAAAAAGTATTATATTTGATTAGTTTGACAAGCAATATATCTGGATGAGAAATTGAAATAAAGATCAGAAACTCTTTTATGAAATAAATAATATTAATGGTTTACAATTATTACAAGTTCCTTACAAATAGAAGATTTGCCACTTTAAAGTGTCCATCTATATATAACAAAAAATAAGCTAAGGAAGTTAAAATGCAACAAGTGCTGCAGAAAAGCATTAAAATAAAAGTAAAACAATTTTCTGCTGTAGCTTTTTTCATGAGGAGAGTAGTGTTACTATTTTATATTGGTGTTTGGATAATATTAGCATCTTTTAAGGCTAAGGTACACGGAAAGAGACATGTAATTACCAGCTCTACTAACGGGCGTTCTTCTGTAGCAGCTGGTGGGACACAATCATTCTGTAACAAAGTGTGCTTTAAAAGGGAACTCTCCTGCCAGCATCAGCAACTGCAACATTAAACCTCCACTATAAAATACTGTAGGTGAAGAAAAACCTCAATGGTTTAATATATGATCTAATTCTGTGTTTGGACACTGGACAGGAGCGTGTCCATTTGGTTATGGCTTTATCATGCTCGCAGATAGGTGAGTGTGTGCTGTAAGATAAATGGCTGTATCAAACGACCAGGCTGCCTGTGAGGTACTTCTGGAGGGACTTCTGATCTGTGTGTCCTCAGCTGGTCTGAAACTTTTCCCTTAGAGCTTGGGAGGGGAATGCGGAGTTCCTTGTGCATGCACGAGCTCTTCTGTTTCATTGCCATGTTTCCTTGCTATTCTGAAAAACCCGGACTTGATAGGAAGGGCTGGGGAGGGGTTTGTATTAAAATGAAATTAATAAATTAGATTTGATCTAAAATTACCCTAAAAATGAGCATGTTCTTCAGGTATTTTCAATGTTAATTCTGTGTCTAATCTTAGCATTAAACACTCCATCATACCGACAAAGAAATGACAACATGGAATTTGATTGTATTGTTATTAGTAGAAACCATTATAAAGAAGCAAGTTTAGCAATAGTGAGATAATGATTAACTCTTATTTCAAAGTAAGTGTTACACAAAAGTTGTGTCTGACAGCTACTAAATAGCCTGAAACACTGAGTATTCCAAATCTTTGGAGAGACTTTTTTCCACTCCAAATGTGTTCAAAACAGTAACAATGAATGAAGAGAGGTTTTGATATTTGTTGTGGACTGTCTGGAACTGTTCTGTCATTGGAATACTTTGAATTTATGAAGGCCTTTACAATACAAACATCAGAGTTCAATGTGCAAATGTTTTTGGGGATTGAACAATTTGTATTTTTTAACCTTGTTTCCTTGGTGAAATCAGGGAGAGACTGAGGAGCATTCTCCTTATCCTAGTTTGCTGAAATGGCAAAATATGAACACTTCAAGACTTTCTTACCTTAAAATTGAGCAAGCCCATTGCAGTTTCCACAAAGGGGATAAAATTCATTGGTTCTACAAGTGTTCGGCCTTTTAGGTGATGTAAGAATTTGTCTGAAAACTAAAACTACACAGAATGAGCTATCAGAGGCAAAAAAAGAACAGTCTACATGTATACACAAATGGCAAATATTCACCTGACGGGAACAAACACCCCTCCCCACCCCAAAACCTGATAACTAAAAAAATTAGAACAGCTTATAACAAGGCCTGTGATCTGAAACAGCAATATTCCCATACATTTCTAAATTTGGAGGCTGGTTTGCAAGGAAAAAAAAATAAAAAAAAAAAAATCCAATCTTAGCACCTCTCACCCTGACTTAGTGAAATGCAAATCCGTGGGCTGTGGAAAACAATGAAGTGCTGCTGTACCTGAGGTCCGGTTTTGTTTCAGGTCCAGCACTGCCATCACTGGAAGCGCTCCCCAGCCTTCTAAGTGGCATCCGTATTATTCATTACGGCACCGTTACCCTTTTGTTCAATAGGCTTTTCTTCATAATTTTTTAGCTTACCTAGGAAGGCCTTAAAAAGGAAGTTTAATTCTTTGAAGACCAAAGCTTGCCAATTTTTTCCATGAGACCAGTTCACAGCTAGCTCTGAGCTGCCAGTGGGGTAGCCCAAATTCCAAAATCTATCATCTGGAAACATACAAAAGCTCTTGCACAGATTTTTCCCCTTTCAAAAGGGAAAAAAAAAAAAAAAAAGGAGGGGGGAAAACCTTCAGCCCTATATTGTAAATGTCTTATGTCTGTCCAGAACGAGTAATTTGCGTCAAGATAAACATATTGCAGGTACTGCAAAAATGTTAGTAAATAAAGACAAAAATCACATATGCATATATTTTAAATTTAAGGAATATTCAACTATTAATGGATATCAAAGGAAAGGGAATTTTAATCATCTCTCCATTCAGTCTCAGTTGGGTAAATCATATCTAAGAGATTTGCATAAATATAAACCATCAAAGACTTTTCATCTTCAAAGGGGGTTTCAAGACCCTATAAGCTTTGTACTGTAATCATCGCAGGTCACAACCCTGCAGGAATAAGGCTGCTATGGCAACATAAAAAACTAATGCTTAAGGCTTAGCATAATATTCTGACTAATAGAAAGGAAACTCATTTTAAAAGCTGGCAGCCTATTTACCAGAAGCTGGATTAGAGGTGTTATTTCCCCTTTTAGCTTCCCCCCACCACCCCTCCCCAAAAGAAGGAAAATCTAATCACCCAGATCTTGAAAAAAAAAAAAAGCTTTCCAGCAATTTGCAGTAACTTTACAATTAGGCCAAAATAAATCACAGCTTTCTCCGGTGAAGAATTCTGCCCTCCCATCTCTGCTCTGCATCATCACCATGGCCCTCTTGATAACTTTTCTTTAGTGAAGAGAATTCCACTCAAAAATGTGCAAGGAGAAAAAAAAATCAATTCACTCTGTACAGTATGGCAGGTTACTACAGTGACAGAAAACAGTAAAGTTCACCCAGGCAAATGCAGAAAATGAGGTAATATAATGGTATCAGTATATCTTCTTAAGACTCTTACCTGGCTTTAATTTTTTTAGGAGGAAAAAAAATGTTACTGTGTGTATATTTTAGGTGCAAGTTAAAGAGCAGAATTCTTGTTTTATTTTAAATATTTTAAAAGTCACACTCCTGGAATTTTTGCTATCTTTTGTTTTGAAGGTAAAGCAAAAAAAAAGAGAGCACATTTAATTAAATATTGCCTCCCTTCCTTTCCCTTGTAAAAGATTTGCAATAAGCACCAATACAAAAGGTAACGAGTGGAGAAGTTTCAATTAATTTTTTTTTTTTTTCAAAAGGAGACGATTAAATGTTTCCGGCCCGGTAAAGTGTTCATTTCAGGGAGAAAGGGGGAAAAAAAAGAAGAAGGCGGAGGAAAAAAAAACCCACAAAGCTTGGGGAGGGGATGAAGTAGCAAGGCCTCAGCAATTCTTTCAATTCCAGTGCACACCCAATAGTGTGTCGGGAAGAATGCACACTGGTCGGGATTTGTGGGAGAATTGTCCCGCCACAAAGGAGGGAGAGTTACGCTTGTTATAGTCCAATAAGCCATGCCAGTCAAACAAGTACCCACACTAGGGACAAAAGGAAAGCAAGAGATTCTCATACAAAAGAAAACAAGTAAGCCCATCTTTTAGTTGTGCATCAGCCTCCAGGTTTTCTGCTGCACATAAATAAAAATGAAGGGGGGGAGCGGGTGTGCGTGGGGGGAGAGAAACAGCTTCTGGGAGGCTGAAAAATCATGCTGGAGTGATTTTTTGAGGATTGGGAAAAGAAGGCAGCGGTGTTAGGCAGAGTATGTTCTTTGTGTGCAAAGGTTGGGCAAAGGGAGAGTGAAGCAAAAGAAGAACAGTGATGCAGATGCCTCTGGGGTTGACTTGTTTTCCATGATGGAAATAAAAGTTAGGGAGAGGGAAGGTGGAAGAGGATGAGGTGACAAAGAGCCCTGGCATCCCGTCTCCCTGCAAAACCTACTTGGTGGCAGGAAGGGCTCTGCCATTTTGGTATCATGAATATTCATCACTGACAAGTTCTGTCTAACACTTACACGGCTGTAAACCCTGAGAGGTGCACCCTGGTTAATTTAATTACCCGTTGGTGGAAGGGGATGGAGAACCTTCTGTGGATGCCAAAGGGGCAGCGCCACGGCATGGACGGGGCCTGTCCCACACCTGGTGACGGGGCTGAGCTCCATGGTGTGCTCAGGCCCATCTCCATAGCCTGATCAAGGTTAGGTGCTGAGATTAAAATAGACCCTAATGTGCCTGCCTGCCTTTCATCACAGCTTGCACGCGTGCTAGCTGCTCAGCTAGTGGTTTGCAAAAATATGAAGTGAATAATTAAGCATTATTCCTTTACTGGTATGTTGCAGCAATAATGGTATATCCAAACAAGCATCACTCTTTTTTGACAATTAAAACAATTATAGCATAATTAGGCCTATTTCAAAGTTTTCTTAAGTAATTTGACATGCCAACCATTTACATTTCAGGTTTTTATTGGCTGAAAAGTCAGTTGTGAAACACAAACACACCTGTCAGCAATTAAAAAGGAAGAAGTAGAGAACTGTTCAGGAAATAATATCTGTGCTAATTAAAAACACTAGTTAAAAGCTTCCTGTTTGTTCCTCCAGTTGCCCCAAGGAGTGACCTTCCCCCCAACCCATTTTTTCATATGTTGCTAACATGGTTTCCCATCTCCTGCTTCCAATGCACGTAACTAAGGCTCTTGGACAGACAATAATTTTGCTTGTTAGGGTAGTCTGAGAAGAGTCAGGCACTTACCCTTCTACTTTTGATAATATATTCTGACAGCAATATTGGTTCTTTGTCAGCTGTGGGAGAAATACACCTGGTTTTCTTTATAAATGTGTTCCATAAATGCTTTTTATACAGCACATCACACACACACATTTAAGTGGATGCACTGCCCAATTACCTCAGCCAAGCAACGATATCATATGGCATTTGCAGCCTTCCTCTTAACTCACAGTCATTCCTCTCTGTGCCTGGATGAACTTGGCCCAACAGCTTCAGTCAAAAGCTAATGTGTTGTTGGTACTCACCCATCTTATTTCCTCAACATTTTCAACCTTTGGCAGCATCATGCTTGAAGGCAGGGTCTTGGACTGCAAAAGCACCTCTAGGTCTTCTTCTGCAAGGCCGCTGGACACAGAGTTTATCCTGACACACTTTTCACCATGGCCTAAGTCAAACTCTTCAAGGGTTTTCACTATGTTCAGTCTTGCTTCTCTCTACATTATGTATGAGTTCCGATGCACAAGAAAAGAAAAAGAAAACATATTTTCTATTGACAGAAAAATGCACTGAAAAGAAAACTTGTTGAAATGACATGGGGAAAAGCTAGACAGCCAATATAGTGGTTTCCCCAAAATGTCTGTCACTCTTGGACTTTATTGAAGCAGTCATCACCAGAACCTCGCAATTTTACCTTCTTCTTTACTGTTTCTTTATAACTGGTAAATTCAATGCATGGAGTTTCTACCACTTGCAGGAAACAAGACTTTTGTGTCTGTTAGTGCTGAACATGTGTAACAAACACAAATCCTTATGCTAACATAATGTATTGCACTAACTGTCTGCTCTCTCAGAAATGGCATATTCTTAAATTTGCATTAAAAATTAATTTTTGTAATTTAGCTCTGTAATTTTGCCTGAATGTCGAAAAGTACAGACGTATATATGCCTCTTTGGTTTTCCTTTACTCCATGTATTCCAAGTGCATTAAAGGCAGTAATAGAATTCAAAACATACATATAAAAACAACACTGAAATAACTCCAAGGTTTTTCTTAGACCACATGAATAGGCATTCTGTTGGCACAAAATAAAATCTCCAAAGACACAAACTTCCCCTGGTCGTTTGCTATTTTTGTGAAAGTAAATTTACAAATCTGTTTAATGGTTGATTTGCATGAAGAATACTGGCATGCTTTTCTGAAATGAAATGCATTTCTTAGCCTGGAGAAGGGGGTAGGGGTCGGAGGAAGGTGCTAGGCTCCTTGCTTCCTGCCAACTGAAGTTTTAACCCCAAATTCCTTCCACTCACCAACAGCCCCTAACAAATTTGCATTGTCAAAACGCACACTTATCATTTCATTTGTGAAGAGTTTTTATGGGGCTAATAAAACTTTAAAGCTCCTGAGCCATGGAGGCTCAGGAATGACTTTAACAATATGCAGTTGCTGAATAGAGATGCTTTTCAAGAAAAAAGGCAAACTCAAGAGGAAAAAAAAAACAACAAAAAGAAATCATCAAAGTTAATATCCAGGCTAATACAAATCAGCAAGAGAGCACATGACAGTAGATTTAAACCAGACGGATGCAGACCTCTGCCGGCAAGAGGGGCAGAGGTGGTTTCCCAATGTGGTCTGAGTTAAACAGTGTGAGGGAACAGTAGCTTACAGTTGTCAGGACCGATGAGAACAGGGTCTCCCAGGCCAGTTTAAGACAGCTCTGCAGTGTACTGATTTACAGGGCTGGGACCCCTGATAATTAGGGTAAGTTTAGAGAAAAGCAATTGGTGGCTCTAACTGGTTAAAAGGAAGGAATAATGAAGCAGAAAGTTAATGAATCTGAAGCAAACAGCCTTCAGCTTGGGGCTCCTAGCAGTGCTCCTCCCAAGGCTGGGAGCATATGCCTGTTAATGGGACAGACAGGAACAAGGCACCCATGTATGCATCCCTGGGCTGCCATCAAGGGGTGCCTTCAGAGGGAATCTCTGTAAAATGCAACCCAAAACATGTGAACTGCTGTGAATGGACTCTGTCTGGAGCTGTTAGGAGAGCCACATAAACATGCACGCAGTTTAGTACAAACACGTCCAGCTGGAAGACAGCTCCGGCCCGTGGCTGTCTGATATGGCTCTTCCAAATTTGGTCAACCCAACTGTATGATGCCAATACTGGGAAATACAAATCCCCTATGTTTTCCTTCTCTGACTCAGGGTAACGGGTTTCTAGGGCTGAGCTGAAAGCTTCTGGACATGATGCAGAAGGGTAGCTTAAAATCACACTCCAAACCAATTTATGCTTTTAATTAAAGTCAGATTATCACCGTTTCAGCACACACCAATGCAATTTGCAAAAGAGAGATCTTCCCAAAGTATCCTCTAAGGCAGCACTCAATTCCAGCTGAAGGCACATCTCCAGCAAACTTGCAGCCTAATTTGTTATGATTTTTTTTCAGAATATAATAATGAGCACTATTATGAGACCATTTCATATCTGTTTTTCTCCTCAGTCTACAAACTCCCTTCCCAAAAAAGACAGATCGTGTCTTTCTAGGTATATTTCCATACAAAACACTTATTAACAGGCTGTTGCTGTTATCAATTTACATAAACTAAATGTGCAGCCCTCTGGTACGTATCCCAAAAATAACCAACAACTTCACTGAATTTATACCAACCAACAAACATGGGGAGGGGGTTGATGTTTTTTCCCATATTTTAATAGAAAATATGTTGCTATGTTAGTTAACACACCCATGCCATCTGTTGGGTTGAGAATTGATGCGTTTTCTTAGAACCGCTATGTATTAGATCTGTCTGCCTAGATACTCCAGGAATGGAAATGTTTCCTTTTCATGATATAATAGTTCTAGTCACTATAGTTTCCACAGCAAGAATCAATTTGTGTTTTTAACTGTGGAACAAACTGATGGGACCTGGCTGCCAAAACCAGAGCTTGTGAGGGGGCTGACTGTGCCTACCCTTCCTACAATGGAGGAAATCTGACTAATGTTAGTGGGGAGTATCAGGTTCCCATAAAGGTTTCCAATAAAATATTTCATGGGTAAATAAAAAAATTATATACTAAAACCTTTGACCAAACATATTAAAAACATGGAGAAAAGGGAGAGTCCTTTGTGCCTCATTAGGCAGGGAAATGTAGAGGCTCTTCTTATTGTAGAATTCGTGCAACAGCTAAAATCCTAAGCTATATAAACTACTCCAAAATTGTAACAGAGAAAAAGGTAGTCCTTGATACAATAATATCCTTACTGCCAAGAATGGGAAAACTAGAATTTTTAAGGAATGGTGAGAAAAATATTTGCCCTGTTGTTCACATGAGAACTACAACATCAGATAATACTTTGTCATGAAGGAATAGCTGATAAAGAAATAAACCAAATCATTAAGTAAAATATTTCGTGCTCAAGTAGCTTGGGATGGTGATATCCTCCTTGGGTCCCATGTGAGCTGGGTTCTTTATCAAACTGAACAAGAGAGAAATACAACAGAGAGCTTCATGGAAAATAGTGATGCTATCAAAATGCTTTAAATTTGTGCTGGAAAGTTCACTGAGGAAAAAAAATGGTTGGTCAGGGTGGCTGCTTTAGCACCCCTTCTGTTTGACTCTGAGGAGGACACAGGAAGAGGTTCATTATCATGTGCAGCTACGCCAACTGGTGAAGATAAAGGTTTTGGTGACGCAGCATTGCTGACAAATCCATTGCTACCCAAACACACACACACACACACCCCGAAATTAAAAATGGGAATACGCACAACGCCGGCTCCACTGGCACCCATTAAACCTAATAACTAAGCATCCTCATGAGTTTCTAGCTCTGAATTATCAAATCTGCAAAGAAAACAACATCCGTCCACTTTTACACTCCAGTGGAAGAGGTGGTCCCTCGCGGCAGGGCTGCGCAGTCTCGCCATCTGGAGAATAAATCGAGTGTGAAGTACAGTATAGTTTGGGACCAAGCTCCGTGGCGGCAGCCCAGCAGTTAGTTCATTAGTCCCAAACTTGCGGGGATTAGTGCGGTATCAGCTCTACTGTCGGATGGGATCAGGCAGGCAGAGCGCGAGACTCGGGGAAGGGGGTGGCGGCAAAGAGGGAGCCCCTTGGGCTCCTTGATAAAACCACACTGTATTAGTGCACCTGAATGTGTGCTTTTGGTAACAGTATTTGGAAACAGCTTCCCATCATCTGAATCAGTACCTTCCCATTTCTCCTTTTTTTCTTTTTCTCACCTTTTTTTTCCTGTAGGTTATTTGTCAAAACATAGATATTTCCACTTCAGAACAGAAAAACTAAAGAAGAAAGAATGCCACAGAGCTGGAGGTTCAGCCACCCACTCACCTTGGACACACTATTAATACAGCAAAAGATGGCAAAATTAACAGCAGATGGAAAAATGATATTTTCTTCTTTCTTTTCTAACTGGTACAATTCCCTACAATCCTGCTTTTCATCACTTTTTTCTAGATTTCTAGACCTACCTGATTTTGAGGACAAAATCTCTGTTTTGCTTTATTTTTCTTGCCTAGTCTTCCTCCCCTTTTTCTAAAGACCTCCAGGTCTTAGTGTAAAGATAGTGGTCATACTTAAATATATGTTTGCGTATGGATCCCATCCTGTTAACATCATTTGGTAACAGTTCTTCGTGTGGAAATGTAAATATATGATGCACTAAAATGGCAGGCCAGAATCTATAATCCTCAATGCCATAATAAGTTGGCATGTTTCAAGTAAGAGAGGAAAAATTAATTGCTATAATCACAATTCAAGTGCTTTTTTTGTGACATGCCTGACATGGTTAAAATATACAATTATGTGGTAATGTTAATTCCTTGGAGTGGTTTGTTTACAGAACTTGACATTGCTGAATCTTTTGTCACTTGTATTAGTGCATGCCGTACAAATGCACATCACAAATAAGATTTTGCAGAAGAGCACATACACATTATATACCCATAGTAGCTTTTGTGCATAATAGAGTTTCTGCAGGGGAAAAGTCTGACACCTTCTCCAAGCATAACTCTCCATCAATGAATGCCATACAGAATGAGAGCATACAAATGCCATTTAGTTTCAAACTCACAAATGGGAATGGCAAGAGAAAAGACAAGTCACATTTGTTTTTAAGGAAACAAAGAGAACCATAAATGGGGAGCAGATTGCTTCTGAGAGCAGCAGGTACTTGTCTCATGAGACTTGCTTTCTACCTCACATATATCAGGTACTCATTAGAATAAATCTTTGAAACGGCAGCTATGTATTCCTAGTTAGTCTAGTTTTACAGTCTAGTTAGACTGAAAAACTAAAAAACTGTGCTGTAAAATATGCACAAAGCCTCCAGAAAGTGGTCATTAAATATTTTCTTATTTTTACCTCTGAGCAGATAATCAGTTAACAAGTTTTTAAAGATTTAAGAAATTTTAGAACGCATTTTCTTTTGGTTCAACATGGAATACACCAAACCCACCATGTAACCAGTCC